TATTTTCTGCCTTTTAATGTCATAGAGTGCCACTGCCCCACACATACAGTGATAGCGTTGATGCTGCTGAACAGAAAGGAAACAAATAAAATGATGATTTCTGGATGCTTTTGAAAGGATTGTAGTGCAAAAGAGGAGATGCAAGCAAAAGCTTCCTTTTGCTGTTTGGTAGTGTGCCTGCAAGGCAAAGAGCAAAGATATCCTGCTGTTACGCTTTTGCAAAGCGTATGTATGTGATCACGGGGTGGAAACGTTGAGAGGAAAATATTATTAACAGACAACATGGGAAAGGACTTGAATCGCAGTTCCTCGCTGTGACGGGAATAACAGAGTACCTTGCCTGGCTGCCACCACCCAGAGCAGGGGTGGGAGCACATCTCTGCTTGTCCTGGGACACAGGGACAAAAGGGGCTGGAGCTGAGCTCTGTTTCTTCCTAGCCAGACCCATCCCTCTGGCTTGCAGTAAAGCAGAACCAATATGATGTATGGCCTGAAAAGTCGGGTTTGGATTATGAATGCTGGGGACTCTTTCTTCTGTGCAATGTTTGATCAGAACTGAAAGGTGGTGGGAAGGAGCGAATGGCAACACATCCAACAGCTTACTGCACTTCTCCTTTGGGTGACTTTCTCATTAACCCGCAGAAGTGTCACTCGATTATTCAGCTCTGCTTCCTAAGGCAACTACCAAAACCATTTATTTCTCCCATTAAATCAATAAAGATTTGTGAAAAGTGTCATCCGGGGGCTTTTTGCTCCTTAATGATAGGCAAGAGTTCATAAGAATCAGACTGCTGTAATCACTAAGAGTTTGTATATATCAAATCTGCTCCTATTCCTGGAGCCAAAGGCCTAAACATTGTCTTACAAGCTTTTAACCATAGAAATTATGAGTGTAGTAAGAAGTAATCTCTTTATTTTTCATGGTCCAGATTTTAAACCCCAGCTGAAGTGGCACTTGGTGACACAAGGCAGTGATACATACAGATGTGACCCAAGTTATGAAAAAGAGGAGCACAACTTTCTCAAAATGCCCACACTCAGGATGATACTTGCAGTAGGTAGCTCGAAGGATCAAGACATCAGAACGCCAGATTATCCTTCCTCTGCCTCAGATGCTTTCCATATCTGTGTTCTCATTCTGGATTTTCAGCTCCAAGCATCTGATAATATTTTGTGCTTCTCTCTCCCAAACATCATCTGTTTTTGACATCAAAATGGTACCTCACTCCCGTCACCCTGCGGCCATTAGGAAATGGTCACCAACGACTCAGCAGTGCTCAGTGCCCTGCTAGGGCAAATGTGCTCACGTCACAGAGCTGTGGTGTTAGTTATCTCTGTGTTTTTACAACTAGTGTTAAGAATCCATTTAAAAAACTTTATTTTTAAGCAATAGTTACTTTGGTTTGGTTGCTATTATTTGCCTGGGCCCAGCTCATGGAGAAAAACCTATAGATTAACAAGCGAATGGTGAAAATGTTTTCTTCCTGTGGTTCCTGTTCATACAATGGAATCAGTTTTGCAGACAATGTCTGGAATAAGCAATCTGATCTGATCAAAGGCCCCGATTCCCACTTTCACATGGTGTGCTTTGCAGCTGATTAATGGTACAGTGCTAGAACGGGGCATCCAAGTGGATGAGGGGCTTTCCAGAGCAGGGTGAGTGTTCTTCCCAGGGAGTTTACGAGGTTGCCTGTCACAGCAGATTATCAATGTGGTGTGCAGATGAAGGTTACAGCATGCATGAACTGCCAGATCACATGTACATCATGGTGTGTGAGCTGAGAAACTTTCCTGTTTCTTTTGTAATTCTCATGGTTCTTCATGATTCTATTCTCGAAGTTTTATTAAGGATAGGGATGTTGCTAGTGTGTTACATGGATGTGAGCACCTAAAGCTGGATCTTGCAGTGCTTCTCAGGTTTTAATGGTGCAACAACAGGCACTCCCAACACAACAGTGTACTGGGAGAGAAAATATCTCCAGATCAAAGCTTCCCAGCACACAGCTGAAAACAGCGCGGTACGGTGAGACAGGAAAACTCACTGTCAAGACTGCGTTTCAGATAAAGTAAATTCAGCGAGGCGGTTTTTTGGCTGATTGTTCTGATTTTGTCAGCCTTTGCTGTAAGCAGCATCGTTCACACGTGGGACAGTCCTTTCCACCGTGGTGTGACTCGAGGAGGAGGCCGGCGGTGCCTGGCAGGCGGCTCAGGTTCCTCGTGTGCGTGCAGATGCTCCGCGCCTTCTCTGAGCGATGTTAGCGTTGTAAGGGTGCACGGTAGCTCTGCTGCGACACATTTTTCCCTTTGTAAAGACAATGCCTAAGGCTGTTCCTATGAGATAACAAATCTGTATTGGTTTTAAAGCGTCTTTTTGAACGCTGCCAAGGCTCACACGGGTTTCTCAGCACGAAGTTCCTGTCACTCAGAAGCTGTCGGGGGGACTGCCTTTTCAGCTGGAAGTAATTTAAGCAAGCAAACACGAGATGCATGCCTGGGCCTCGTAGAAACTTTACTTCTATTTTTAAATGACAGCTATTTCTCTTATTTCTGACAGGGCAAGTTCAGAAGGGAGGCACCCCCTGTGAAGGCATCCTCGGGAGTCTCCAGCGGGGCCTGGGAAGCTCTCTCAGGCTGCTGGTGGGCTCCTGTGGGGCTGAGGGCACCGTGGAAGAGCATCCCCCACCGAGATCAAGGGGCTCAGCGCCTGCCGACAGCCCCCCTGAGCCTGGCCCACCAGCTACGTGCCCCAGTGGGCAGCACGGCTGGCCCAGAGCTGTCTCCATCACAGGGCAGAGAGCTCTCTGAGAAGTGTCTGCCTCCGCTGCGGAGCCAAAAATGGGATTTTTATCTTCATGTCTCTATGCTGCATTGTATAATATAAGGCAGAATAACTGCCTTTGTGGCAACGGGCAGCAAATAAACTCCTAAGAGGAGGAGACCTCTGGAGAGCTCTTCTCCCCTCCCACCCACAGCTCCCCCAGCCTGGGGAACAGGACAATGTTAGAAGCTGTTTGTGCCTCCTGGGAGAAGCGTGTGGATGCACCAACAACCCTGACTTCACATACGCTTCTGGGGGTCCTCGTGATGCTGCCTGCTGAAGGTTGAGGGGCAGATAGGAGGATTGCTCTACATCCAGCAGTGATGGGCTCTGAAGGTTTTCCATCCTGCCAGGAGAGAAGTGGGTGGCTGGTACAGGTGCTTGTGCAGGTGTGCAACTTGATGTAGCAACATCAAATTTAATGTTGTCTTTGCAATAGATATACAAGTATGAAAGCTAGGAGGCAAAGCTCAGGAGAGCCCCTAATGAAGAGCAGTTTGGGTAACATCACTCCTTCACAGGGTGCCCTCCTGGAGGGGCAGTAAGCTGGGCTGTGCCTCTGTACACACCCTAGAGGGTGTCATTCCTCATGCTGAAGGTCCTCTGGAGACTGCTGAGGTTTCTTGAGGTAGCTGGGCTTTCCAAGCCAGGATATGGGGCTGTGGGTGAGAGTGAAATCCATATTTCTACATATTAAGAGAATTTCTACAAATTAATTTTTAAAAATTAATTAATATAAATAAACCCAAGCTTGTTGCTGGATTTTTTTTTTTTTTTTTTCTTCTCATTTTTTTCTTTTTTTTTTTTATGTTTCTGATTACAGAAATCTGTTTTATATTGCACATATACTATTTGTCTTGCTATACATCCAAGCATATCTCTTGGCCTGAAACTTTCTGCACTCATCCTGCTTCAAAGCAGAGTTCCTGAGATCTGTGGGAGTCAGCGGCGAGTCCCATTCATCCATTTTTTGGCTTGCCAAACAAAAGCAGCAGGCTGGGTGATTGGACTCTGGTCTGCAGCACTGTTCGGAGGCTTCTGCCTTATCATCAGAGCTCAGCCACACATACCAGATTCATGCAAGTTTAATGTAAACGTCAGACCAGGTAGGACTTCTGGAGCTCCGTGGAGGGAAAGGCTGGTGTGAAAGCCCATGTCCTCCCTGTGATCAGAGACCTTGGGCTTGATAGACACCATAAGCCACCAAAAAGGAGGATCTTGCCACCCTTAGCTGTGGAGCCGGGCCACAGATTTTACTCATTTCGATGTGTCTGTTGACTTGGCGGGCAGCTTTCCTCATTTCGCCTGTGACACATGAGGATATCTTTTGGGTTGGGATGCAACACAGCATTTACCTCACCTTTTTCATCACATTTTGACGAAGCAGTCTTGAAGAAATGACTCCAAGCATGGTTCCCAGAAATGCCTGCCGTGTTTCCATGTGTATCCTTTTCAGACCTTTTCAATAAGTGGAAAAGAGGGTGGGTTTCCTACATCTCAACCCTACATTCGTACTGATATTTCTTCCCAAGCTTTGTATAAATACACATCCAGCAGAGGCTCCCCTAATGAAGTATGTTTATTTCCTAATGAGAAATCTGTCTCAGGAACAGATTTCTGCTGTGACTGGCTGACAGCCTATTAAACGGTGCAATAATGGCCTTTAAATTACAGCGTGCGTCGAGACAGACCTGCTAATAGGGTGGATTTTACGTGGATTGAAGTAGCCCTTTTTAGCAGGTTTGTGCTGTGCCTGTGTCCTTGTCCGTCTGGAGCAGCAGGCTCCAGGGGGTGTTCTGAAAGCTTCATTAAAAAATGCTTTATGAAAATTGTGTGATCTCGGCAGCAGGTGGGAGAGACTATCTCTGCCTAACCTTGCCATTTGTATGGGGCAGGGGGTGAGTGCCTCTCCCCGTTGTCCACTTCTTTTAATGCCTTAAATAGCTCTCCTTGACACACGGCAATGAAAATGGCTCACTGACAAGTTTCTCCTAGCCCTGTGGCTATGAAGTCTGCTCTCTAAAGAAAAATCGACGTGGAGACCATTTGGCTTAAAAGCCCTTAAGCAAGTGGGTAAAATTAATCAGCTGTCTTTTAACTCTGATTCATTTTTCCTTTAATTCAATTTACAAAAATGTGCGGGCAGAGCCTGAGCCTCTGGGTATATTAACATTAATAAAACACAATTAAGCAAATGTTATTATGTTGCCAGCAACAAAAGGAATGCCCCTGAGTATACAACTTCCCCTTGCTGTAATAAATATGCAGACACGAGAACTGTGCCTGCAACCCAGTGCTTAAGCAGTCTTAAAAAAACCCACACAACACCACCATCAACAAAAAAACAACTTTGGGGAACACAAAGAAGCCAGCAGGAACAGTCTGAAAGTTAACACGCCAAGACCTACTTGCCAGAAGAGGAGAAATGAGAAGCACAGGTAGGAAAGTTTTGCTTTTTGTATTCAAATTCAGAGGTTGCAGCTTGGCTGGTTAATGTGACTTGTAGATAATGCTTAGACCTGTGAGAGTGATTGCGTTTTCTCATTGCTTCTACAGGGTGCTACAGCCAAAACCCCACTCCCAGCAATAAGAAGAGAGGAATAAAAACCAGCAAGGTAAGAAATCAATCACCTTAATAATCAAAGTGGAAAACCAATGAAAAATAAACATTCTAGGGGATTTTTGTGTGTGTATGGAAACAGATCACCTGAATCTACCAAAAATAGACATGTTCATGTATATAATGACATGTATAACTACAGTTTTGCAAGAACCCCTGCTAAATTAGGATACATCCAAGGACATCAGTTTCTCATGTAATGGTACAGTCTCTGCAGCTGCGGAGCAGTGATGCATACTCTTCTTAGGAGCTAGAAGGAACCCAATTTACCAAACCTTACAGTGAATCCCATCATAATTATTCCAATAATGAGAGTTTGCATAAGGATAGCTGCTTTCAAAGTATTGGTTTAACCACTGTCAGCTAATTGTTAAAATTATCAATAAAGTGCAAAAATCTGGCCAACAGCACTGAAGTTGTTCTTTTGGCATTTGATTCTAAATCTGGAAGTGTTTATTTGAGAAGACTGAATTTCGCAGGTTGTGTAATGCAGGGAATATTTTCCCTGTGTTTTGACCCCAGGTATTGAGGTTATCTGTTATTTATTCTTTTCTTGGACTCCTTTCCTCCTTGCTTGCAGCTCTGCCAAGTTAGGATAAATGTTTATGCTAATACACTGTATGAATCTGACTCCTTTTATTGTTTCATCAGAAAGAAAAAAAAAAAAAGTGATTCTGAGAATGGGCTGGGGAGGATTTGCCAGGATTCTATTCCTAAAGGCATTTAATTGTGACTCTTTTACAATTTAGTCCCTTAGGGGAAAGAAAAAAAAATAATTGAAAGAGAGATGTTGCGTTTTCCTTCCCAATTAACATTTTGTGTGCCGTGTGGGTGCGACTCATCAGCCCGAACCTCGGACAGTGTTCCAGCAGAGCACGTGGACACCTCCTGGATCTGAGGCAAGTGATGGTGAAGCAGCCACTCTGCCCCTTGCCACGCTCCTCTGGTGCCCAGGAAGAGCCCCGCAGAGCCGGCTGCTGCTGGCACAGCTCCTCAGGCCCATGGGATGTTTCCACCAGAAGTGGCTGTGTATATCTCATGGGCTCGTGTTGGTGTACGTGTGGGCATGTGGCTTGTGCCGGCTGATGAGGGTGTCAACGTGGAAACAGCTTTCCTGGTGGTTTTCAATGAGCCTCGGGGGAATCCTTGGCATAAGCAGACTGTATGCCTTCCTCTTGTCTCATCCAGGAGTCTTTGGGACCACCCCCCAATACAAAAACACGTGAGCTCTAAGAGAAAAACGAAGCAAAAGCTGTCCTTCTACTCAGCACTGAGAGAAATCTCATGCTGAGGAGGCCCAAGTGCTTAATGCACCTTTAACCTTGTATTTTCTCTCAGTTTTCTTTGAAAAGGGCTGACTGCAATGACTGATAAGCAGTGTGACTAGCATTAGCAACAGAAGGGACATTAATCCATGCTAGGACAGAAAAAGGATGAAAAAGATCATGAGGGCACGATGAAATCAGCCCTTCCTGGAGGAGTGGTGGCTGCAGACCCATTACTGGGGGCACTGGGAGAATGCACTTGTTGAGTACGCAAGCCAACTGGGATTGTAAAGGTTGGAGAAATAACCCAAAGAGAAGAAGCAATTCAAGTAAAGAAATATGACCGAGGTGAGGAAAGCCTGAGAAAAAGTTAGAGTTATTTATTCAAAAGAAGACTGAAGGAATATGATAGCCATTTTTTAATATAATGGGGGGAAAAAAAGTGTATTGTTCTGTATTGCTGCTGGGTTACTGCCTGCATTGGAACAAGGCAGGTTTTGGTCAGAGATTTCCCAGTGGTTTCCAAATGCTGAGCGAGCCAGGCGACCGAGCAGAGTGCCAAGGGAGAGGGGCCAATGTTTGTTTTTGGAGGGCTGGGGACACAGGTGAGTAAAGCACCGAGGAGTGGTTTATAGAAATTTTCTCCTGACTTGGTGCTTAGGGATGGGCTCAGTGACTTCTTGAGCCTCTTCCATCCCTGTTTGCTGAGATTCCTCCATTGTATAAACTCAAGTGTAGGTCTGACCTAGCTGGAATGTTTTTGCCATTAAGCAAAACAAAAGGCTTACAGATGTGAATGGCAAATTACGTACTGCAAATTAAAGCTTTAAGTAATTATGCCTGGCCTTTTCACATTGTATTTATACTTTATGAATGTTATTTTAGTTCATTGCATATAAATAACAAGCTGAGAATTGCTGTCCTTAATTGAAACCATCCCTACTTTTCTATGACAAGAGATTAACATTTTTAACAGACTCTTTGTGATCCACTGAGGCTTATTGTAGGATTTTTCTGCATTGTTGCTAGGCAGCTTCATGCATGCCAGCAGACAGACACTGCTGGGTATGTCATGGCTAATTAGAAAAAAATCTCCGTGCTTTTGAGTGTACAGCAGCTGAAGTTTTTAAAGCTTGCTGCTCGGGATAAAGACAATTTAATTGGTTCGAGGACTGATGAGACACAATCATAGCAGTTGAGCAGTGCTTTAATTTTTTTTTTTGTTTGTTTGTTTACAGTTCCCTGGATTCACCGAGTGAATGAAGTGGTGAATATCTAAACAGTATTAGTGAGAAAAGAGCATTGACCTGAGCTGTGCTGACATTGGGTTGGTCCTGGTGATTTCAAAGAATCGAGCATCACACTCAGGTAGAAGATTTGCACAATTACTGTACAACAGAACATTTAGCAAGGAAGAATTTTTAAAGGGGTGTAAATAGTTTTATTTCTACAAAGCAGCTTACAGTGAAACCAACAACAACAACGAAAACTGTTAAAAGTTATTACCAGTTCCACAATGACATTTATTTTAGGAGATTAGCCAATGCACTGGGTGTAAATGCCTTTGCTGAAGTTATATGTGCCTAGCATCAGTTATGATTGCTTTGACCTCTGCTTACCCTGAAGAGAGAGCATCAGAAACTTGTCATTTTTGTGAAGGAGGATACAGGCCATAGGGTAAATCCTCATTAAACCTCTTAGGAAGTTCTGATTTAAAAAATAAGCAAATGGCAGGCTGAAGTACAGGGATTATAGAAGCCGAGGACACCTGATACAGATACAGAGATTTATCGGAGGGAATAGATTTAACTGGTGCTTGGTTTTCCTTTTTCTTCCGAGGGATTGCTTTTAATCTGGATCCAGTTCAGGGAAATGAACATCCTGAAAGAAGCTTTAAACTGCTTCCACAGCCAGACAAGAATTAGATTTGTGGAAACTTTTGAACCATATACAGATGTCTTTTGCATAAGGAAGGTGAGGCAGCCTTACATGCGAGCTCTGAACTGATCATGGAAGCAGACGCCGCTTTCTCTTCTTCAAAGCTCGTTTTAGCAGTTCAGTTTTCTTTCTCTACCCTTTCCTGCCTGAAGATACTGTATTTCTGTTAGCTGTTCATGTAAAACACAGTTCTGATGGAGACAGCAGGGCTTATCACAGCACGAAGGCAATCAGTCTTTGTGCCTGGGGGGGGCATCTGCTTGGGCCACCTTTCTTTCCTTGACACGGGGAGGATTTTTTTTTTACTGTTGGGTCTGATCCTGATCACTCAGAGAAGAAAGTTTGGTTCAATCTCTTTCAAAACAGAACATCTTGCATGAAGCAGAGATCTTGGCTTCTCTAGAACCTCTGACGCCTTTTACAAACAGGATTGGTATGGACAAAGTCCATAGTGAAGTGGTCCATGGTTTCCTGTGCTGCACAGTGCCTCATGAAACAGCCGTGGTGGGTGAAGGAAGGACAGATGGAGCAGAACAGATCTGGGAAAGATCTGCGCTGGTTCAAGGTTGTGGATGTGCCGGGTTGTCTGAGCGTGTACAGCTCCCGTTGCCATGAAGGATGTGCTTGGAGTCACTATTTTTAACACCTGTGGAAACAAGTGTTAGCATGAAGGCACATTCCAGTTTCTGTGTTCCTACAAACGCACCTCATCTACCTCCACCAACACAGACAACCAAATATAAATACTAATTGATACAAATATAAATAGTGTTTATATTTTATATTCCTTCAAACCCTGCTTAAAATGTCCTCTGTTGTAGCTTTTTGGTATTCCTCCTCTCCTCATCAAATACCTCTTCTTCTTGTTCCAATGGAAAAAAGCAAAACAGACCCATTTTGTGCTGGGATTTTAGATGCTGGATGCCTGCAAAACTGCCTTCTCAGCCGTGTGGCTGAGACCTCAAAGCTGAAGAACGCGTCCTTCATACTCAGTTGCTGAGGCACTGGGGATTTCTTATGCGGAAGGATTTTTTAACTAAATGTATAAATCTTTTGGTATTCAGGTGCTGCAGGAAGAGCTCCCACGTGCATTTATTTAACATTAAGGTCCGTTATAACTTCCACTCTGGCGTGAAGGATAGGTTCAATTACTTCCTGATTTACGTAAAAAGCACTTAGATTGTCTTAAGCATCGTGAAAAAAAAAAAAAAGTTTTTGTTTCATATATCTCAATTTCAGTAAATTATTCATGTGAATTTCATTTTGACCAAAAGAAAGATTTGTCCAAGCTGGAGATCACCTTGCATTTCACGAGCTCTATATACCTGGAGGCCTCGAGTTGCATCGCACACCCAGCAAGGTCAGTGCTTCTCCAGCTGTCACCGCACCTTGCAGCACCGACCTGTTTCTGGTGGCCATGGAAGTGCTGGGAATAAAAAATAAATCCAGATTTCTAAACCTGGTTTCCTTGTGCAGTGGCCTGTCCTTGGGCTTGGTCTTCGACGGCATGAAACAACAGTGTGATAAATATATGTCCGTCAGACACTTGCATAGGGTGGATGCAAATGCACTTTTAAAAACTCTTCCATAATCTTCCTTTGCAATGGCGTGTTCGAGATCAAACATCAGAGCTCAATTTTCTATAATTACTCAGGTTTATGGAGCTGTCATCACCATGTCAAGAAAGCTGAGAAATTAGAGCATGGCTTTTAATTTTTTTTTAAAGTATTCTAAAGAAAATGTTGCCTTTCATGTATAAAATGAAACAGAATATGGCCACTGTGGGATGGACTGGCAGTTCCTTTGATGGCTTGATTTACATTCAGCTAACTATTGTTAAAAATGAATATGCTCTGTCCAGATTTTGTGCGAGCTAAATACATTTCTCTGCCTTATTTCCATCTTCGCAAATACGCATTTGCAGTATATTGTTAACAACTACGAGCATTATAACTGGTGATACAGCAGTCTGCACATTTTGGACATTATATCATTACGATAAAACTTTGCGGGCTGTTGACCCAACTTAAATTGGGAACTAGCTTCTTCTTATATACTTACCTATACTCACACTAGTTGATAGCACCAGTAAGAGGGTGAATGATGGCAGTAATAAAGAATTCTCCACTGAATTGATAGTTTTATTTATTTTCAAGAAATGCTCTTGCCACATCATTAAAGACCTTGAAGAAGATCTTTATTGTCTCATTTTCTTCATATTTTTTACATTTTCTGTGTGGGATTGTATAATTTAGGAGAATAGCTTGCTCTGCATTGAAACAGTTCAGCTTGTTGAACTAGATCAAAAGAGAAAAAAAGAGAGAGAAAAAAAAAAAACACCAAACCTTTCCAAGTACTAAGGGTCTTAATTTGAATGTGATAAACCCACTCTTCCCTGTTATATCTGCTCCTTGACTGATGGCATCTCTCAAGGTAATTATATTGCAGCCTTTTCCCCCTTTTTTCTTTTTAAATGGCCACTGTGGTGCTAGTTACAGAACAGCTGGGTGCCACATATGTGAAATGTCTGCCAGGAAGGACACCTTTGTGGAGTTCCTCAGCTGGGGTAGCCCACTGGTTGTGCCGAGGCGTGAAATTTGGTTCTACGAGAGCTGGAAAGCATTCAGCTCCACAATGCTAGTGCTGTGGGGGGAAGAGAAAAAGGAGAAAAAGAGAAAGGCACATTTACACCAAGCTCCTCAATTAAATGGAAGCTTTTGGCTTACAGGGGTCTAACAGAATGGCCAGCACACATGGAGAAATGACAGGGGTCTTTTCTGTTCTCCCTTCTCTCCCCACTTCTGGCCCTTTTGCTGTTGTTAAGTGCTTCTGCCTACTTGTAGGGTGGAAGATGCAATGCAAGATGGTTTTGGAGATGCTCAGACTGTGTCTCTCCATCAACCCTTACCCAAAGGCTGCAGGACCGCCAGCTGCAGCATTCCTCATCCACCCTGCATCTTGGGACCTTCTCATCTACTGGTCCTCCCTGCAAGAGGGCAGAATAAAAAACACAGAAAGGGAGGTTGTGCCGCAGCCTAGCAGCATGAGGCTGGAGGCACTGCTATGGTAGGAGTATCGGTGCTCACAGTTTTGGCAGTGCTGGGCTTTGTGTCCACGCAGAGTTTCAGCTTTGCCATGATTCTTCCTTACTCTCTGTCAGCAGTTCCCACAGGGAGGGATGTGAAGGAGGACAGGTACAGGTCAGCTCCTGTGGGCAGACACAGCTGAGGGGTCAGAAACACGCGTGCAGAGAGCTAACAGTTCTGCCAGCAGTGAGGTCATTAGAGAAACCTCTTCAGTTGTTTATCTCACTGCTTGCTGTCCAGCTTTTCCTCCCTCCTTCCCACACTGCAGCCCACGAAGGTGCTTGTCGTTCAGACAGAGCTTTAGGACGCTGCCAAGACCAATTGATTTCAGGAAATGATGTGCAGTGGGAGAAGAACAGGATGCAAAAACTGCTGTAGCACTGCAGAGGTGATGGTGAGTGCCTGCTGCTGCAAACTGCAGCGACGCTAACACGCTGCTTAAATACCCCGAGAGGATGTAACTGCGATCCCCAGGCTCTGAGCTCACCAATATGCTTCATACCAGCAAAGCTCCTTAGAAGAAAGTAATTAAAGTGAGGAAATGAGAGAGCCTGAAGTAACATGTCAGTACAAGGAGATGTATTAAGAAAGTGCTTTATTAAGGGAGTGCTTTTCATAATGTAAACAAGGCATTTTTCAAGTACCAATGGATGCTTGCAAACGTACCCACAGGAGCTAGTGGCAGCAGCAGCAGCAAATGTTCTCATTTCTTTACTTTGGCCAGAAGAGTGATTTAAAAAGCCATCTGTGGGTCCGGGGAATGACACACTTTGCTCTTGTGTGGGACCACATGGTCATATTCCCACCAGGTACGTGTGTGCCTGTGGTTTTGTTCCCTGGGTAGGGGGAACAGCCCCTGAGTATTGCCTGCAACCCGAAGCCCGTCGCTCCTTCTGCTGCTCTCCTCTGTGGCCTGCTGCAGGTCAGCTGGAGGTGATTTTCAACCTTAACCTCGAGCCACAGCTGTAGATGTCAGATGAGCTCGTTTTTCAGAAAGGCTGTGGCTTGTACTGTCACTCACAGCCACGAAATCCGGAGCTACCATTGAACTGAAATCCAGCCGGTTGTGGGTGGGATTCACAGCCCTGGAGGCTGAGGTCGATCTTTTAAGGTTGATTCCCAGAATTACAGCCAGTCAATGCAACAGCATCAAGACCCGAAACCCAAGAGAAATAATTTCATCTGCCTCCCCCACACCACAGTCTCTTTCGGGAGTCTGGTGGCATTTTATTCATTCGTGTTTGTCCCCTACCTCCCAGTCCTGAGGAGAGAAAGAGCCTTGTAAATAATGGGAGCGGGAACAATGGCGTTGTTTGCTGTTCATCTTGAAGCATCCCAAAACACTCTGCCAAACAATACCCAGGACATAGTTTCGTTGCCCACTCAACCTAATTGCTGTAGCCTTCAGGAAGACTACTCGGCTCTTGCTACACTCACTCTCTTCCTCGTGGTCCTTGTCAGTGACACAGAAACGGGTACTGAGGTCTCCAATGCTCCTCAGCCAGGACTTTGCATCCTATTACCCCTGGCTGTGTCTGGGCTGAGTAATGCAGTGCTCCAGGCCTAAAGTTTCCGTGCAGTTTCCTAAAGTTTCCCTACAGTTTCCGTGGAATACCACATCCCTCCATCTGACCAGGATTTGTCACGCGGTGACAGCGATGTGGCAGTCCCTTGATGATCACTGGCAGCAGGAGCGTGGTGGGAGGAAGGCAGATTTCTTATCTAATAAGGATAATGTAGTGTGCGAGGTTTTAAATATCTAGCAGATTACAGCATGCTAATTTAGAAAAAAAAATAAAAAATAAAAACACAACATGCATGATCCCGAGCTTCCTGTAAGAAAAGGGTAATAGGAAATCTGCTAAGATGACAGGTACTTTTTCAACAAGTAAATAAACTGATTGAAATGGGTCAGTTACGCAAGGGAGGAATTGGGTCTGGAAGCACGGATCTCCTAATTGTTGTGTAATGGTATGGAACAAGGGCGTCTTCTCAGAGCACACATGGGGCTCAGACTTGCTCCAGGCTTGTGTATTTTTATAAAAGAACGCCCTCCGGGGATGTGATTCCTCCCTTCATGCTATTTTTATTTTCCTAAAGGATGTTTGCATCTAACACCTTTCCAGTGACTTTTTTTTCCCTTTCTTTTGCTTGTTATTAATGTGCTGGTGACTGGATTAAACAAACCTGAGTGAAACAAGCTGCTGCTTCTAGATATAGAAGCATGGCTGGAGGTATCTCTGATAGTTGTTTTATACACAGTTACTATGGGAACGGGCCTGGGAGTCTTAATTTGGCTTGATTGGTGTACGAAGTTTAGGATTTTAAGGAGGTTTGCCTGGGCTGGGCTCGGCTGGGGAGCTGAGCCTGTGTCTGGGCCAGCGAGGGACACACAGTGGTGGTGGGATGGGGAAAGAGGGGATCGAGGTGCAGTGCCCGAGCTGGAGAGCAGCTGCCAGGTCAAGGTTGGAGGCCCCGAGAGGGCTCCTCGAGGCTCCTTTCACACAACACTTCTGATCCCAGCTGCAGCACATCAGGGCTGCCCTGGAGCACAGGCAGCCAGACACCGCTTCGGGGAGAGGACACAGCTGCTGGCGTTGCCTCTGTGAGAGCTGAGACCCACACGTGGGGTCAGCAGATACACGTGCACCTGCGGCTGTGTAAAGCCTCACGCTCTGCTCAGTTGGCCATCATTTTCTCCCCCCTCTGGAAAAAAAAAAAAAGAGCTGTCTATTGCTGCAGGAGAAGTGAAAAAGCAAACCAGAAGGCAACTCTGAGCTCTGGGGGGAGCCACCAGTGCCCTGTTAGCAGGAATGGATCAGGGATGGATCTGGAAGGGGCTGGATTTCATAGGCGGGAAAGATCGGGACTGAGAGGGAGAAGGAAAGGAGGACAAACCATGGGCAGGGAGGTGAAAATTCACTGACACTGTGGGAAGGAGGCAGCAGCTCCTTGGAGGATTTACCTGAAGTCCCCAGACCATGGAGGTGGGGAGGGAGAGCTCTGGGGGGCAGGTCCAGGTGGGTCTGCTCCAGTCTGTCCCCATCTATGGGGGCATCTTTTTTTTTCTTTCTTTCTTTCAAGAGGAAAACCTGAATGAGATCACTTTGGGCTGATGTGAACTACATCTCAACCAAAAATTAAAAGCCTTTGTTTCCATTTTAAATAACCTGCAGTAATTTAGAAGTAATTTTTAAGCATCAAATGCCTTTGGGAACTAAGGCAGCTTAGCTTTGTAAAGAGTAATATGAGACATTACATCTTAGAAAGGGTGAAACGAGATGTTCTGTCATTTAACTTTTTGTGGTGGCTGATTTTTGTGGGTTTTTATTTTGTTTTGTTTTTCTCTCCTACCCTTAACAGTTGTATTTGTTGAAATCTTTCTACATACTGTAGCTGTGAATGTAACACTTGGATCTTTTGGGTGCCCAATAGCGGAGTGTTACTGATTTCATGTCACAAAGGTATTTTTGTTTCTCATTTGTTGTTGACCACACAGGACAAAACAGCTGGAATTCCTAAAATCCAGCCAGATTTGGCCCTTCCTAATGACAGTACTATGTAGTTACTCTGTATTGCGTTTCTTAAATGATTAAAAATATGTTTTCAAAATTATGCTTTGGTTTTTCTCTAACAGAGAAAAATCAGGTGCAGTTGATGCCATTAATGTAAAAATCCATCAAGCAGTAGTGGAGAACTAGAGTGAGAAGTAGTTTCCAAGTTAAAGAAGAGAATTTGGCAATGGGATAGTGCCATAATACTTTGGCACTGTATACAAAAGCAGAAAAAAATAAATAAAACACCCCCAAGGCTGGAAGAGAGGTGATGAAAGATTCTAGGAATGGCTAGGACATATTTTTCATTAACAAATTCGGTAATCCATCCAAACTGAACTTGATCATTTATTAACAGGAAAGAATGTCTTTATAGCTGAACGAAAACTCACTCCCCGGAGTTTCACGATCACAGGCTAATTACTTAATCTCTCTGTGTCCCACATATTCCCTTTGCGATCAAGAGAGAATTCATTAAAACTTCATAACCTCTACGCTAGAGATAATATTTACCTGCTTTGAAGAAATGCTCTAGAACTGGATTAACCATTTTGTAAGCAGATTTGAGCTTACTGAGGAAGAGGTATTAAGATCAGCTCCGCCAAACTC